TCCTATCCATCCGCCTCCTCCTCACTCTCCTCCTCCTCCCCTCCTCCTCCTCCTCCCTCCGCCTTCCTCCTCCTCCTCCTCCTCCTCCTCCTCCTCCTCCTGCCTTCCTCCTCCTCCTCCTCCTTCTCTCCTCCTCCTCATCCTTCATCCCGGCCTCCGCCGCAGCTCCACGCTCCGCCTCCGCCTCCCTCCTCCTCCTCCTCCTCCCCTTCCTCCTCCTCATACTCCTTCTCCTCATCCTCCTCTCCTCCTCCTCCCTCCTCCGCCTCCTCCTCCTCCCTCCTCTCTCCTCCGCCTCCTCCTCCCTCCTTCCTCCTCCTCCTCTCATCACTCCTCCTCCTCCTCCTCTCCTCCTCCTCCTACTCTCCTCCTCCTCCTATTCCTCCTCCTCTCTTCCTCCTCCTCTCCTCCTCATCCTCCTCCTCCTCATCCTCCTCCTCCTCTTCCTCCTCTCCTCCTCCTCCTCCTCCTCCTCCTCTCCTTCCTCCTCCTCCTCCCTCCTCCTTCCTCCTCCTCCTCCTCCTCCTCCTCCTCCTTCCTCCTCCTCCTCCTTCCTCATTCCTCTCCTCCTTGCTCCTTCATCCTCTCTGCCTCTCCCTCCCTACCCCCCCCTCCCTCCTCCTCCTCCTCTGCCGTTCCTCCTCCTCCTCCTTCCTCCTCCTCCTCCTCCTCCTCCTCTCCTCCTCCTCCTCCTCCTCCTCCTCCTCCTCCTCCCCTCCTCCCTCCTCCTCTCTCCTCCTCCTCTCGCCCCCCCTACCCCCTCCTCCCTCCTCTCCTACTCCCTCCCTCCTCCTCCTCCTCCTCCTCCTCCTCCCTCCTCTCATCCTGCCTCCTCCTCATCCTCCTCCCTCCTCCTCCTCCTTCCTCCTCCCCTCCTCCTCCTCCTCCTCCTCCTCCTCCTCCTCCCCCGTCCTCCTCCTTTTCCCGCAGGGAAAAAGAGACCCGAGCCGCCAAGTCGGCGGGGCGGGAGCGCCGGCGGAACTGGCGACCGAAGGGGCCAGGCTGCGCCGAGGGCCCAGCTGCCCACGGTACACAAAAGTCGGGTTGAAAAGACGTGGCCTTGACACTTGGCAGGAGATACGCGCTCCAGCTTCCAACAGCGTGGGCGCAACAGGGATGGAAACCAGCATGGCCCCACAGGAGCGGCACGAAGCAGCGCCCAACAATGCACAATACGCGGTACTGCAGAGAGGCAGAATAATAACCTCGCTGCACCGACGAAGGAGCACACGACGCCCTGGAATCAGTCAACATCAACACCCGCGGCTGCAACCATCCGAAGACCAGAAGCGGTGTTTCACAACGACTTACGCTAAAAGAGTCCTACCCATGGTGCGAAAAACCTAGGGCCGACCGGACCGCAGCGCGCTAGCCGGCCCTGGCACGTGGAGCGGGCAATCACCGCCGCCGCTCCCCTGAGCGGACCCCCTGAGCCAGGCCTAAACATACGATTTTCAGTTTCGGTCACAGTGTCGGTCACACTATGTTTCCAGTTACAATTTCGGGCACATGTTTGGTCACATGTGTAGTGCGGTCGCACACCTTTTTGGCTGACAGGGGCCGGGCCCCAAGACACGTCTGGGGAATGGTCGCGATCACCGCGCCCGACTCCCAGGCTAGAAGCTGCCCAAATGAGGTCCGAGCAGGTGGGGCCGGGGGACGCGCTGCATCCCCGGTGATCGGTGCGTCGGCGATGCGTCGGCGACGTCGGCGGTGCATCGCCGCCGTCGGAGTGGCAAAAATTGGGCTCCCCGCATCGAGCCGCGACTCTCCATCTGAGAGGCCTAGCCGCAATAGGTATCTAATAAATCCCTGGAGGAGCGAGAGAGGAGGAGGAGGAGGAGAAGGGAAGGATGATGATGATGAGGAGGAGGAGGAGGAGGAGAAGGAGAAGGAAGGAAGCCCACGGCCTCGCGAGTGTTCGTGGACAGAGTGGCGACACCGCCGTGCTCGGGCGTCGCCCACGCCCCGAGACCCCTTCCGCGCGCGCGCGACACTGCCATTTCGCTCGCCCGCACGCGGCCGCAAGGCATGTTCTTCTTATCTCGCTTCGTCTACTGTGGTACGGAGAGCCTTCAACAGATTCGGTTAAGCCGCAAGAGCACACAGAGCACGTGTTCAAGTGGACGATGTGGATATCATTAGTAATCGTGCTTGGCCTCGCAGTCACAACCAAAACTTACATACTTCTCCAACACACGATGGCAGGCAGCAGCAGCAGCATACCGACACGAGTAGCACAAGCTGTACGCTGTCTTCTACGGAAGACCATGGCAGCGGAACAACGATGCACCCATTTTGCATCCCCAGCCTATGGGCACAGCACCGTGCGATTACAATACACCGCCGCAGTACGTTCCTCCACTCGTTCTTCGGCTTCCAGAGCCACCGCCTCCTCCTGTTTGGCCCGCAGTAAAAGACAATAAGGTTTGCGGCAGCACAGTTTCGATTGGGAAACGAATTGCATTTGACAGCGCATGTGCGTCGGTCGTTGACACGAGCACAGCATGTATTGAAAGGTCGATTGGGAGCCAGCACAAAATGGCAAGCACGGTTGGTTACTCAAGTGGTGTTGAGCTTGACCAGAAGAGCAGATCATGTAATGCTACATCCTCAGGTTCAGCTCAACAGATTGCTACAGCCTCAAATTAAGCTCAACACGTTGCTACAGCCTCAGTTCGGCCTCAAGTTGCTACAACAACAAGTTCGAATGAATCACCATGCTGCTACAGCGTCAAGCTAAGATCAACATGCTCCTGATGCTTTCACCAGCGGGGCTGGTGTTGCTGGGGGCTTGGGAAGCGGTTTCAATACTTCAGCTGTACATTCTGCCGTCACTCCAAGGAATACTCATGCTCATGCTTCACCTGCCAACAAGACAGTGATGTCAGATGAAGCCACGTTGCAATGGCTGACCACTTTGAATAATGCTAGTACTAGTCCCTGGCAGGACCTTACAAGTCGAAGGCATCATATTGCGTCAAGACGTAATGCATGAAGCGCTCAGAACGACAGCTGCTGGCAAACCGCAGGCATGAAGGGTATTTATTTCGTCGCAGACAAGCTTTGAGCGGGTCTCTTCCTGGCCCGCCCACTGCACTATTTCATGTTCCCCTGCTCTACCCCCTCCCTCGCATGTTCCTCCCCTCTCTTGTGGGATCGGCATGGGTATGTGTGGAAAGCATCGGAGCAGTGGAAAGGGGTCGGGGAGAGCACTGTTCAGCCACAAGTCGCATAGATTCCGCCAGCAACCAGAGACGTTGCGACAATACCACTGCATTTCTAGACACACCCAACGCCCATCGTTCCCAAGCCCCTCCATCTCTCACTCCAGCTCTCCTGTGGGTCGCGTAGGGGTGTGTCAGTGGCTGGCATTTGATAATAAGGAGGAGGAGGAGAAGGAGGAGGAAGAGAAGGAAAAGGAGGAGGAGGAGGAAGAAGGAGAACCGTGTGGCATGCGCCTGGGCTCTGACGGACGCTCGCGGCTTGACGCTGTTAGACAATGCCCAGTGCCAGGTCATGACACTTTCACTCGAGAGGTGTCGGCTGGGTGCTCGCCGTCCGGCGTTGCACAGACCCAAGTCGTGCTCTCCATCATCATGAATATGATTGTTCCTCGTCCTCCTCGTCTGCCCCCTTCCGCGCTTTGGCTTCCTCTCCCGTCGCAGCAACCGTGCGTGGTATAGATGACGGGGGGCATCCTTTCCTCACCCAGGCGCTACAGCATACTCTCAGGAAAGCGGATCCTGGTGTATACGGGATCCTGGTGTATACATTCTTCGTTGCTTCCCCGGAAAACGGAGGAAAAAAGTATACACCACCCCACCCCGACGTCGCCCCCGACCCTCAAAAAAGTCCTGGGATTGAAAAACCGCCCGCCACTGGTAATGTATCTGCTCCAGCTTCCGACTTGAATCTCTGCTGCTCCCAACTGTCTTGCAGATCTTGGCTCTCGCCTACGCGAGCTGCTGCGGTACCAGGGCCTGACCCTTGCTCGAACGAGCGCTGCGCTCCGGTTTTTTCTCGGATCGTTGCCACCAAGACGCGACGGCTCAAGCAAGCCAACGCTTGTCAGACGTAGAAGGAGGAGGAGGAGGAGGAGGAGGAGTAAGAGGAGGAGGAGGAGGAGGAGGAGGAGGAGGAGGAGGAGGACAAGGACCAGGACGGGGCGGGGCGAACCGGGGGCCCCAGGGGAGGCGCAGGGTGGACTGCCGGGCAAGAGCTCTGGGTGGGGGGGCCGGCAGGATGACAGTCCTCCTCCCCCTCCCCCTCCTCCCTCCCCCCTCCTCCTCCTCCTCCTCCTCCTCCTCCTCCTCCTCCTCCTCCTCCTCCTCCCTCCTCCTCCTCCTCGAACACTGCAGGCAAGGCGGTCTGTCCGCCGCAGCCCGAGCCGCGCCGCCGCGCGCGGCGCGACGCACGGCCCCCTTCCTCGGAGAGCCTCGGGAGGGGGCCTCAAATTGCCTCTGGAACCCAAGGCCACCCGCAACCAGGAGAGAGAGAGACGCCTAAGTGGCCTCGGAGAGAAGGAATGCGGGAGCCCCGAGAGCCCAAGGGTCCGAAGGCCAACGGGAAGGCGCGGGGACAGAGCGAAGGCGAGGGCCACCAGGGGCACGGGAGAAGGGCCGCCTGGACCAGGAGAGGGGGGGGAGGCCAGGCCAGATTAAGCGATCACTTGTGGATCGCCCAGGGCCCGTCTCCGTTCCAGCATCCGTCACCCAACCGACGGTCGCGTACCACATGTCGGCGCGTTGCGACTCTTTGGGTGACGGAGGCTGGTGGAGGGGCGTCGCTGAGACACCAGTCTCGGTAGTGTAAGCGGCTCCGTTCCCCCTGGTCGGGGGAAGGCGGAGAGCAAGGGGCAGGGCCCGAGGGGGAGCACCCGACAGTGAGAGGGGGGAGGGGCCTCAAGAGCCACAGGGATCCTCAAGGGAGAAGGACGGGACCCCCAACGGGCACGCTGAACTAGAAGTCTTCTGAGGCCTCCAGAAAGCGGCGGGCCGCCCGGGCCTGTAGTCACTGGTAGGTGTTCATCTCATCCCCCTCGCTCCGCGAGGGGGCCTTCGTGATGATGTAGGGCCCGTACAATTGATGGTTCGGGGCGATCGCGTGGTGGTCGCTGCCGCCGTCGATCATGTGCCCCTGTTACGGGCTGTGAGGATGTCTCCTGGCCATGTGGAGTCGGTGGTCCAGGTCCAGGTCGCGGCTCGAGGAGTCCAGCTTGACGAAGTTGCTCAACGCCTTCGTGATGCTGGCGTGGCTGGTGCTGCGCTGTCTCCAGGAGTGATGCCCCACCACCGACTTCCGTCCCAGTAGCCTCAATGACCCCCGTCGGTCGGTACCCTCTGCCTCCCAAGCGCCCCATGGGCTGGGGAGGTGGACTATGCCGACCTCTCCTCCTCCTCCTCCTCCTCCTCCTCCTCCCCCTCCTCCTCCTCCTCCTCCCCCTCCTCCTCCCCCTCCTCCTCCTCCTCCTCCTCCTCCTCCTCCTCCTCCTCCCCCTCCTCCTCCTGCGGTTCGACAGGCCCCGGTCCTCTGGGGCACCAGGCCGGAGATGAGCCGCAGGTACGGCTCGCACAGGGCGGCGAGCAGCCTCCCCGGGGCGTACAGGTCCACGCCCTCGTCGCGAGGCTGCACACTCGGCATGGTCCCCGGGGCGGGAGGCACAGATCTCCAGCGGCCTGACGCTCCCAAACATGATCGCGTCGAAAAAAAAAATCAGGACGGGAGGTTTCTTGGCTGTTTCCGGCCTCGGGGGGCCTCCGCCGGCCCTCGGGACCGTCGAAAAGCGACTCAGGACGAAAAACCGCCCCCGGGGAAAGAGTCTGAACTTCTGGGGACGCCGTCCTTAAAAAATCAGGACGTCGCATGTCTGGGCTTCCAGGCGATGGTTTCTCCTCGATCGGGACCCCGATCGACGATCCTCAGAACGTGCGTTAGCGGCATCGTGTCTGTCCACCGAAGCCCTTCGACGCGACGCGGGCGGAATGAGGAGGGCCGCCACGAGCCGCACGCTGTCGGTGGAGCCAGACGGGGAAACGCACATGTTGAGCTAGCACACGTCCTGAGGATTACCGACCATTCATGGACCCAGGGTCATAAAAAATGGATCCGGGACGAAAAGCTGGCCCTGGGGAAAGGGTCGCATTGAAAAAACAGATGGAAGGAATTCTGGGGGCCAAGAGGGCGAGGAGGGGGAGGGGAAGAGGGGAGAGGAGGGAAAGGGGGGGGAGGGCGAGAGAGAAGAGAGGAGAGGTGAGCAGAGGAGGGGAGAAGACGGTTGGGAAACGGAAGGAGGGGGGGGAGGGCAGGGGGGAGAACGAGAAGACGAAGAGGAGAACGAGGAGGTGGAGGGTCAGGAGAAGGCGGCGGCCTGGGTAGCCAGCTCGGTGACAAGTGACATTTCGGCGGGGTCTTGCCTGCACACGTGTGAACGGTAAGACTGTTGCGAGGCACCCTCGGACTCGCAGCACCCCGAGAGGGAGGAAAGCGGCCACGACGCAAAGAATCCCACCAGCCCTCTCGTCGCAGATGTCTTGGGCCTGGACCCCCGGGGCCTGCCCCCAGGACCAGCCCTTCATCCCGAGTCTCTCTGCACGGGCCTTGCAGACGTGCTGCCGCGGATCCTTGCGTGGACGTTTGCGTGGATGGTCTCCCGAAACGGCGAGCGAAAAACGAAGCGAACTTCGCGTGGAGTTTTTGGGGTCCTTCCCGGCCAAGCGACAGCCGGAACGAGACTCTCCAGGACGCCCCGGGACCCACCCTGTCGTTTTTCCGAACGACCGCCGCGCTGCGCTGGTGGCGCCATGCTGAGTCGTTCGCTGCCGGTGCGCGGGGCCCAGGACCCACACTGGATGGGTGCGCGGGTGGCGCGGCCGCGCGCGCGACGCGCGGGGCGCGCGGCGGCTGGCGCGGCCGCGCGCGCGACGCGCGGGAGACGGAGGAGCGCGCCACGAGAAGCGCTGCGCCTTCGTCGGGCGCGCGGGGCGCTCGGCCCAGCCCTGCGCCGCGCGGCGCAGGGCTGGGCCGTTCTTCTTCGCTCTCCTGCTTGTTTGTCCGTGGCCGCTTTTTGGGGGTTGGCTTCCGCATTGTGGGCTCGCCGTGGGCGTCCCGTGCGCTGGCTGGGATGTTCAGGCCTTCGGCCTGTGCCACAGCCGTGGGCGCCGCGTGGGCACCGCGTGCGCCGGCTGGGACTTCTGGCCTTTCTGGCTGCTGCCTGGCAGGGGGCGCCTCGAGCGCGCCCCGAGCACACACTGGCTGGGGTTTCCGACGCCTCGCCCGGAGTCGTGCTATGTGACGTGCAGGCCGCGGCCGAGGACGCCGATGAGCAAGGCACGGCCTGGCAGAGTGAGCGGCGAGGGCGAGGGATGGGGCCGAGGAGGGAGGAGAGGACGGAAGGGAAGAGGGAGGGAGGAGGCACGGAGAGGGCAGGCGTGCCTCCCCTGCTGGGCCAGGGGCGAGGCAGCTTGCCTCTGGGAGCCCGCGGGCCTTGGACCTCCCAGGCCCGCCGCCAGAGACCTCGGCAAGACTCTGCGCCGCCACAAGCAGGAAGAAGAGCACCAGCACCACCTCGTACACGCCCACGGCTGTAGACAGGAAGTCCAGCACAGCGATCGCCACCTTGGAGGAGAAAAGCGCGGCATAAGCATCAAGTTTCGGAGGTCCGCGAGGGTCTCTTGCCTCGGCGCTGGGCCCACCAATCAGGCGCGCGGAGCGCGCCTGAAGCGGCGCCAGAAGCGCCGCAAGGGGGGGCCCAGAGCAGATCCAAGAACTATGTGGTGACAACTATGTTGTGGGATCCATGTTGTGCAAGATGTGTGGTGCGCAATCTACGAGGTGCAATAAATCACTTTGACCGTCTTGAAGCTGTCCTCTCTACTGCTCGTGCAAACATCCCACCCTCCCACCCGCAACTTGGTCGCAAGACTTCTTAAGACAAGACCGTGACGGTAGGTACCACATGGCACTTGGCCACGACACCGACGCCGACGACGACAGCGACAACGACGACGACGGCGCCGCAGACACCGACTACGACGACAGCGCCGACGTCGACGTCGACGAAGACGACGACGACGCCGACGCCGACGACGACAACGACGACGACGACGTCGCCAACGGAGACGACGACGAGGGAGGAGAAAAAACAACGACGGCGACAACGACGACAACGACGATGGAGGAGGGAAGACGGCGACGACGCGAACGACGAAGAAGGAGGAAGGACGGCGACGCCGACGACGACAACGACGAGGGAGGAGGGAAGACGACGACGACGACAACGACGACGAAGACGACGACGACGGCGACGAAATAGGAGGGACGACGACGAGACGCCGACGACGGACGACGACGACGACGAGGGAGGAGGATAACGACGAGGGAGAAGTGAAGACCACGACGACGACGACGACGACGACGACGACGACGACGACGACGACGGCGACATTCTGTGAAAATCTTAAAAAACCTATGGTTTTCCTAAGATTTCGCAAGAGCTCGCGCGTAAGCTTTTTTAGCAAATCAGTGTTGCGAAGCAATGTGTTTTTATATGTTTTTGGGAAAATCAATTTTGAAATCTCTCCGGAACCGAAGGTTTTTGAAGGATTTCGGCATGCGCGCGCGACGACGCGCGCGTGTGCACTTCGCCCAATTTGTTGCAAGGGATTCGAGAAAAAGTCTTATGTTAGAGCAAAAAATGTCACCGCATAGTGTTTTTTGTTACTAGGGAACCTAAGGGGGGGGAACCCGGTTTGGCTGGGATGGTATGATTTTATATTTAGGATGGACGAGTGTGCAGAATATCTATATATATATATACATACATACATACATATATATATATGTATATATACATATATATATATATATATGAAATCATACTATCCCAGGGGGAACCGATAAGTCCGGGGGGGGGAGGGGGGTAGAATCTATTAATATTTTAGAAAGGAGAATATACGCGGTGAAATTGATTTTCACCCATGATTTGACACATCCCATGCTCTTGCAAACATCCCACCCACCCACCCGCAACTTGGTTTGCAAAACCTCTTAAAACCGACTACGACGACACCGACGACAACGACTACGACGACACCGACAACAACGACTAAGACTTCGACGACGACGACAACGACGACGACGACAACGACGACAACGACGACGACGACGACGACGACGACGACGACACCGACGACGACGACGACGACGCCGACGCCGACGACGACGACGACGACGACGATGACGACGCCGACGACGACGACAACGACGACGCCGACGACGACAACGACGTCGACGACGCCGACGACGACGACGACGACGACGACGACGGCGGCGACGACGACGACGACGCCGACTTCGACGACGACGAAGACGACGACGACGCCGACGCCGACGACGACGACGACGACGACGGCGACGAAATAGTAGGGACGACGACGACGAGGGAGGAGGGAGGACGACGACGGCGACAACGACGACAACGACGAGGGAAGAGGGAGGACGGCGACGACGCGAACGACAAAGAGAGAGGAAGGACGGCGACGCCGACGACGACAACGACGAGAGAGGAGGGAAGACGACGACGACGACGACGACGACGACGACGACAACGACGACGACGGCGACGGCGACGAAATAGTAGGGAAGGCGACGAGACGCCAACTACAAACGACGACGACGACGACGAGGGAGGAGGAGGAAGGACGACCACGGCGACAACGACGACGGAAACGACCACGACACCAAATGGAACGACGACGACGAACACTAGGAATGACAGAGGACGACCACGGCGACGACGACGACGACGACGACGAGGGAGGAGGGAGGACGGCGACGACGACGAAAACGACGACGCAAGAGCGCGCGCGCACGCTTTTGTTGAAAATCCGCGTTGCGAAACAATGTTTTTGTATGTTTTTTCTTTTTGACACACGATTTTGAAATCCTTCCGAAACCGAAGGATTTGGAAGAATTTCGGCATGCGCGGGACGACGCGCGCGTCTGCACTTCGTCCAATTTTCTGCAGAGGATTCTCGCGACGGCACGCGCGCGAGGGCGTTCGACAGATTTCGACACGCGCACGCGCGAATACCTATGGTTTGCTTGAGATTTCGCAAGAGCGCGCGCGTAAGCTTGTTTAGCACATGGGTGTTGCGAAACCCTGTGTGTTTCTATGTGACTTGGAAACTCGATTGCGAAATCCTTCCGAAACGAAGGTTTTCGAAGGATTTCGGCATGCGCGCGCGACGACGCGCGCGTGTACACTTCGTCCCATTTGTTGCACTTGTGGTTTTTGATAAACGAGTGTGCGCGCATAGTATTGTGTTGCAGAGGATGGCGGGGGGGAATGTTACTGGCCTGGCTGGGATAGTACGAATTCATATTAAAGATGGACTATGGGGCAGAATCATATATAAATTGCAGCACGAAAAGGTGACCCGTTAACTCCGGGGGTGGGGGGGGAGTCTGTTCTCTTGTAGAAAGGAGAATGAGCTACCCTGCACAGCACTTGACCACCTCCCATGCTCTTGCAAACATCCTACCCACCCACCCGCAACTCGGCCTGCAAAACCCATGCTGCGGCGATCGCGATGAGTGCTTGGCGTTGGCTTGTGCATCTCTGCGGCCGCGCCAACCCAACCTCGCGCAAGCAGCGGCCAGCTAGTTTGGCGCGAACGACGCGGCATAAGTGGCGCTGAGCGCTGGGCAAATCCCAGCGGGCACTTCAGTGCGAGTCGGCGACTTGGGTGGGCGCGGTATCATGGCAACGTCGACAACGGTAGACACGATGATGATAGTAGCGATGCTGGTGACGATGTTGAAAACGACGACGGCATGGCCAATGCGGGCGCATATGCTGATCGCGCCGACGATGACGACGGCGTCCTCGCGTCGGTGATGAAGGTTTGGGAAAGAGTTCGACATGCACGCGCTCTGCCGACGCGAGAGAATAGCCCGCATGGTATTGTTTGAACCGGATCGTGCCCCTTCAGCACCCGCGCAAGGGCGTGCGAATGATTTCGGCATGCGGCGCCAGAGCCCCGCTTGGCAGAATCCCACGCAAATGTTGGAACAAAACCTATGGTTTTCTGAAGAATTCGCAAGAGCGGGAACTCACATTTGTTTGAAAACTGATGTTGCGAAAACAGATGGTTTTATTTGTTGCTTGGACCGTTGGGTTTGAAATTGCTACGAAACCAAAGGTTTGTTGATTGACTTCGGCATGCGCACGCGACGACGCGCGTGTGCACTTCGTCCCGTTTCTTGCAAAGGATTCTCGCGACGGCACGCGCGCAAGGGCGTTCGAACGATTTCGACATGCGCGCGAAGCCGGTTTGGTAGCATTTTCTGGAAATGGTGAAAACGTATGGCTTTTGATGACTTCGCAAAGGCGCGAACGCAAGTTTCTTTTGAAAATCCGTGTTGCGAAACCCTGTGTTTATATTTAATATGTTCGGGGACACTCGATTTTGAAATCCTTACGAAACCGACGGTTTTTGAAGGATTTCGGGCGCACTTCGTCCCAAATGTCGCAAGGGATGTTTGAAAACTGCTGGTTTTTGATAAACGAATGCGCGCGCACAAAATGTTTTGCAGGGGATGGCGGGGGGGGGGGAATCCCGCACGGCTGGGACGGTATGAATTCATATTTGGGATGGACGATGGGGCAGAGTCATATGCACATGATCTATGTGGTGCGACGACGGGGCAGCGACGGCGGCAACAATCGCGGCGCCCGACAGACAGGCCCAGACGACGGGCGGCGACGAGGCGGCGAGGGGGCGGCCACGGCGGAAACAAGCGCGGCGACCGACGAACAGGCCCGGACGGCGGGCGGCGACGAAGCGGCGACGGGGCGGCGACGGCGGCAATGTAGCCGCCAGACCGACAGAAAGGCCCAGTCCCTTAGCAACATGTACGAAACCCTGAATGCAAGCACTGTTCGGGGAATTCCATTGTTATCGCCCTCATTAACGGGAAGCAGAGAGAAAGAAAGAAACGGCATTAACGTAAACGTTCGGCGGTCCGCGCGGGTTTCCTGGATCTGCGCTGGACCCCACTCCCTGGCGCGCGGAGTGCGCCAGGGGCGGCGCCGGAGGCGCCGCCGGGGGGGGCCCAGCGCGGATCCAAGAAATCCGCGCGGAGCGCCGAAAGTTCGTGCTTCTGCCGTTTCTCTCCTTCTATTATTTTACTCGCCGCCTGCGCCACAGCGAGCTCCCAGGACAGGCCCGCTGCCGCAATCACCGGCACAGGCGCGCCCGCGCCGCCGCTGGCCACGAACCAGGCCTCCAGCACCGCGGCCACGGCGGCCGTCAGCACGGCGACCTCCGCGGACTGCAGCGCCAGCGGCGGGCTCCGGGCCTCGGGCGCACCGTCCTCGCCGCGGGCGCGCCGCGGCGTGGGGCCGCCTCCTGCGGCCGGCCGGCCCCTCAGATCCAAGGGCCGCAGCTGCTTTTCACAGCGGGCGGCGGCCCCTTTCGCACAGCGGCCGCTCTCGCCACGCTTCGGGCCCCGGGGACCTCCACGCATCGGTCGGGCTCGAGGCATGGCGCAGGAAGAGGGGGGCTGGGGTCGGGGGCTCTGGCCGCGACGTTCGCGATGCTGCGATTTTGCTGGCGACGGTCGGATCTGAGGGTCTCCAGCGCCTGGCCAGCGGCCGCCGCCTTCGGCGGGCGTCCACCATCTACGCCTGCACCGAGCACGGCTGGGCCGGTCCTGGGCCCGGGATCGGGGCGGTGTGCCGTCCTCGCCGAGCCAGGAGGGGGGAAGGCTTCTCAAGAAAAAGACTGCTCCTTAGAGAAGGCGCTGGCCTGACTGACATCCACGCTTTTCCCATCGGCGGCGGGGCAGAGTTGGCTGCACCAGCGAAAGGGCTAGACGGGGGCTTACGCCCTACACACGAGGCCCGCGCCTTCTGAGCAGCAGGGGTGTCTCTCAGAAGCCACCCCCCTCCCCCCATACCCCCCTCAGCGCGTGGCCAAGATGGGCCTGGCCAGGGTCGCTATTCGAGTAGGGGATCGACTATAGAATTGATTTACCCCGAAATTGATTCTCTCGTCGAAGCCATGAACAAAAATACAGATGTAGAATAGTCCGGAGACCCACGGAGCATTGTCGGCATGTGTCGTAGACTCGACGGGAAATCAACTTTGGGGTAAATCGATTATGTAGACGATCCCCGACTGAAGCTATAGGTGTACAGCTGGCGCCCTCCAACCCAGACATGCGACGTCCTGTTTTTTTCCATACAGGGTCCCTGGAAGTCCCCCCGACCATCTCCCCGGGTCCGGTTTTTCATCCTGAGTCGTCTTCTGACGGCCCCGAGGCCTGGCGAGGGCCCCACGAGGCCGAACGTGGTCAAAATCCTCTCGCCCTGACTCGTTTTTCACGACGCGACCCCCGACGTCGTGCTTTTCTCGGGAGCGGCCAAGAGGGGGGTGTCCAAGAGGGCGGGGTGCAAATCATGACCGGCGGCATGTGCGCGGCCCAGCGGGGGGGGGCCAGGGACGTAGTGAAATGAGAAGAGGCGCCATGAAATCTGGGGAAAAATCATGGCCCCCGCCAGGATAGCCACCCCCCCCTAGTCATCACCCCCCTCTTTGCCGCCCCCGACGTCGTGATTGTTTCACGTCGTGCCCCATCGGCAGTGTTGAGGAGCCTGTTTTCCACCACCACCACCACCATAAGTTGGATGGGGGGGAGGAGAAGGAGGGCGAGGAGAAGGAGGACGAAGAGGAGGAGGGGGAGGAGGAGGAGGAAGAGAGGAGGTGGAAGAGGAGGAGGAGGAGGCCCGATCTCATGACGTGCCCCTCAGAGGTCTCGATCCCCTCCAGGGGACCGGTCTCTCATCCCGAGCCGTTCTCTGACGGCCCCGAGTCCTGGCGAGGGCGCCCCGAGGCCGAACATGGCCAAAAAATCCTCCCGCCCTGCCCTTTCAGAGTCGAGCGTGCCCCTCTGCAGGACGCCTCTTCAAAAACAGTCCAAAAACAGTCTGGGGACGACTTGCTGACTATCTTGGCATTTGTTTTGTGCATTTCTGGGGTATCTCTACGTCTTCGTCCAAGTTCCGCCTGGAGCAGGAGGGGGGGGAGGGGGATGAGGGGGAGGAGGAGGAGGAGGAGGAGGAGGAGGAGGAGGGGAGGAGGAGGGGAGGAGGAGGAGGAGGAGGAGGAGGAGGAGGAGGAGGAGGAGGAGGAGGAGGCGGAGGAGGAGGAGGAGGAGGAGGAGGAGAGGAGGAGGAGGAGGAGGGGAGGAGGAGGAGGCGGAGGAGAAGGAGGAGGAGGAGGAGGAGGAGAGGAGGAGGAGGAGGGAGGAGGAGGGAGACGACGGGAGGACGGAGGAGGGAGACGTCGGGAGGAGGGGGCAGGAGGAGGAGAGGAGGGAGGAGAGAGGAGGGGGCGACCTGCTGCTTTGTTTTCACGACGCGATCGTGTCCGCGAACGCCTCGCTGGCACCGGCGCCCGCGGTGCGCTCGCGAGCCGCCCCGCGGCCGCAGGGCGCGCCGCGCCGCCTCGCAGCCGAGGAGCAGTCGCGCGCGCCGGCGCCCCGCAGCCGCCGCGCGGCCTGGCCGCGCGGCCTGCGCGGCGGGCAGCCGAAGCAGACGCAGATTTAGGACGGGCCTGTCCCCCTACAGACGGATCTGGGACGAGAAATAAGAAATACGCAAAAAGTACTCAAACATAGCCGAAAAAATCAAAAATCGTCCCCTGAATATTGTGTGACTATTGTTGGCTACTTTCCCCCTGTAGAGGGACAGGCCCGACTTAGACCCAGATCTCCGACGATATGACTTCTGCTAACCCCTGGAACCCTGGCGTTCGGTGGCAGCTGATGGGAGCCTCCCATGCCATCTTGTCAGCTGTTGCGAATCGACGCCTGTGGACGCTTTATATCAACGCTACTCGACGCTAGATCGACGCTGACGGACGCTAAATCGGCGCTATCTCATCGACTCCCAGACGCTAACCGACGCTCATCGACGCCAAAAACGGACTTACGGGGGTACACAAGGCTCCCATGATTTGCTACCGAACTGGCGTGGCAACTTTTCCACCATGGGCGTGTTCGCCCAGCTTCGGGCCCTGGGACCTCTACAGATCGATTCGGCTCGAAGAATGGCGCAGGAAGATGGGGTCTGGGGCTGCGGTCATGTGTTGTTACAATGTTGCGATTTTTATTATTATTCAACGTCAGATCTGAGGGACTGGCGGCTTCTCTTCGATCTGAGCCGCCAGGCCCGTGGTTGGAACCCAGCAGCATCCCAAACGGATCTGGCGCCAAGGACTGGCGCTGGGGAAGGGGTGGGGACCTCTTGAGGGCGAACGTCAGGAACGGGCTCAAGGGAGGAAACATCGAGCTTGAATCGGCGATACTTCGCCGAGAGATCGGCGATAGGCCTCCGATCGCGAATCCGCACGCTCCTGGGCGGGGTGGGCTCTTGGACCTTCTCGCCCCCTCGGCAGTGCATGGGTGATCGGGGGTCGATGCATCCCCCCCCGAGCCTATGCCCCTCGAGCGCTGCCCCTGACCTCTGGGGCCGCGCATGGCAGAAATCGCATCTGAGGACGTCTGGAGATGACACGCCGCAGGCGGCCGTGGCGCCGCGGGCGGTGCCGCCGCTGGCGCCATCGCGGGGGGGGCGAGCGGGGGCATCGCTTGCCGGCGGGCGGAACGGCTGCAGGCGGGGGCATCCCCGTGCGGCCTCTGGCACACGCGCGGCTGCTGAGCGAGACTCGGGCTGGCATCCTCTGGTGCAGGCGGAAGGGACGGCTTCGATGGAGGACAGTCGTGTGCGGTTTGTGGCACACGCCCCGATGCCGAGTGAACCTCGGGCTGGCATCAGTTGTTCCCAGCGGACGAGAAGACTTCGATCGAAAGTACCCCTGCGTGCCTCTCGACACGCGCTCCGACGCCGAGCAAAATTATAAATCGGCCCGTTTGTCGGGGCCGCTCCGCCGAAAAGGACTCACTGATTGGCGACATTAAGGTAGTGCGACCAAACCGCCGAATCGAATCGAACGGGCCCCACTGCATCCAACATTCCTCCGAAAGCAAATTAACCGGAGGATGAACCAGGGGACGAAATGGACGAAGAAGAACAGGCACAGGATAACGGAGAGAAGAAGGAAAAGGAGGAGGAAGAACGTGGCAAATACAAAGAAAACAGCACATGGGGGAGGAAGAGATAACAAGACGACGACGGAAGCGTTTTATCAAAAGGGGAAAGAGAACACAATTGATATTGATATGAAAACAACAAGGAAAGGAGCACGAGGAAGAGGCTGGCGGAAAATATGACAATGGGGGAGAAGAAGCAGAAGGAAATGAAGAAACAGCGTGGAGGGAATGGCGAATGCTGGATTCCCGCATTCACGGGAATGGATAGTCAGCGGAAAGGCTCAAGGAATGAAGCGCGACATCTCGCGAGCTTGTCTGACAAATCGTACAATATGACGTTATCCCGTTTAGCGTGCCGTCCAACAGGCTCCCGCCGCGCCCATGCGTCAAACATATTCTAAGCGTGAGACAATGGCCACAGTTTGCTCCCTGTGAGTGCTGACGGATCTCGCAATCCCAGAAACACAACCCAGCTGGGGCCAAAGGCAATACAGATGGTGAAACATATATACACACGTATACACATCGATCTATATATATATATATATACACACAAACATGTACACGCGTCCTCGCAGAACCCAGACAACAGTACCACGTGCGACCCCTTCACACGGAAAACTGGTGAGGTGACGGCGATGCCCCTTTTACGGGTGGCGGTGCTGGGGGCCCTCTCTACGCAAGCGCACACGCTACTCCCAGGGAAATGGTGCCCCAGGGTGTTCGCGGGTGGAAGAGTCCGACACGACGGAGCGCTTGAACCCAAATGGCCACAGGCACCAGGCAAGGAAGAGGATGCACGTTTGGTGTTGGCACAAGGGGGCGTATCCTCGCAGAGCCCTGATAGCGGTGCGAAAATGGCATTAGATGGATGAGGCGACGGCAAAGCCCCATGCATGGGCGGCGGTGCCAGAGGCCCTGCACGCAAGGCACCAGCCACCCCCAAATGACCCCCTCTGCAATGGGAGCGAGGTGAAACACCAGAAAAACAAGCGGGGAGATAGGAGACACGGCGGCGAGGGGGACGCCGGGGGCCCTCCCCAGGACACTGCGAGCGTCGAGGCCCGACCGCCTTCTCACCTCGCTCCTTCGCCCCCCGCCGCCACCGCTGCTCACCGCTCGCACGCGCGCCCAGGGGCCGAGAGGCGCGACGTCCAAGCCCCGCGCATCCTTCAGCGGGGGCAGCCCCGCCAGCAGCAGAGAGGCGGGGGCCCTCGAAGGAAAGAGGGCGGCCCCCGCCGGAGAGGGGCCCACTGGAGGGCGGGGCCCAAGACTGCCCCGCAAGCACGACACGCCACCGCTCGGCGGCCCCCTCTGCACGGGAGACGCCGCCCGGCCCCGCCCGCGGCGCGACCCAGGGCGAACGGTCGACGGCCCCCGAGCGGGATTCATTCCGAGCGGTCGCGCGCTGCAACTGCGACCCGCGGCGCCGCAGCGGGCGCGGCCTCCTGGGCCGCCCGCGGATTGCCGTCTACTCGCCAGCGCCCTCTCCTGCAAGGGCGCCGCTGCAGCCGCTCCAGATCCGCCCGCGCGACGTCGTCCGAGACGCACTGAGCGGGGCCGCCACCGCGGCCCAAGTCGCCCGCGTCGCCCACCGCCCCCGCCCCCGCGCCCAACTGCGGGCGCCCTGCTAGAGGCGGCCGCCCTCTCCTCGACGATCGACGCGTAGAGTCCCTGGGCGGCCTGCCTCGTCTCGTCGAGCACGCGCCCCCTCGGGCCCGCGGCTGCCGCCTGGATCCTGAGGGGCTCGTCGAAGCCCGTCGCCACCGAGTTGCCGACGTCGTCTGCCTCCTCGTTATCCTCGCGCGGTGGCCAATCCAGGCCCCGCGCCATCTCGCGCGACCTCGGCCCCTCCGAAGGCTCACTGATGAGGGCCGTCAACGGCCACTTTGTCGACATGGCACTGCACGCAACGCAGGCGCCCCCCACGTTGTCCGTTGACCCTGGCATACCGAAATTCGCCCTCCGGCGGAACTCCTCGGGCCTCGGGAACGGCTTCACGCAAGGGGTCGCGCCGAGGGGGTCCAGCGCCGCGATGGCCTTGTTCGGGCCAATTGTCTTGCCCACGCCAAAGGGGACCAGTCCTTCTTACTTCCAGTCCGCACTGACGAGCTCAACGCGCGCCGCCTTTCGGCTGTTAGTCCCAGCCGCCTGTCCAACGGCGCCCTCCATCCGCCTTCGCGCCCTAACGGAAGCGCCCCGCTCTCTCGTTTGCGAAGTACACGGGCGCCTCCAATCTCTGCCCATTCGTCAGCGATTGCCGATCCACGTCAGGCGAACCTGACCACCGATGGCAGGGGGGCCTTCTTCTCGCCTGCCTTCACGACGCTGGCAAGCCAGGCGCGAATGGGTCCCCCAGGGCGGCCGCGCCCAGACACGGACCGTCGCCGCGAAGAAATTCAGCCGCCCCAAACCTGTCACCATCTCGCCAACGCGGACGGCGCCGCGCTGAACCGTCTCCCGGCACCAGGCCGCCACCCGAGCCGCCCTCGCCTCCGAGAGGCCCACGGCGCACGCGGCGCAATCGCCGCGGAGGCCGGCCCAGCCCACCTCGAGGTCGCTCGTCGCCCTGGCCTCTGCACCGGGAAGCCAAAGACGCCGAGTGGGGCGATCATAGAGAAAGCTGCCAGGCCCCCGCGCCGCCCCGCTCCGATCGCCCCAAAGCAGTCGGCGCAGGCGGGCCGTTCCACGGGCCGGTCGCCCCCCAGCAGGCGCAAGATCGCCTGCAGTCATGCCCCGAACAGCCTGGCCCGCGATTCTATGGCGCAGGGTGTGCCACAGGGCGGGGACGGAGTTGCAGCGAATCTCGCCCTCGAACCCGCAGGCCCGCACGCCCCACTCGCCCTTGCGGATCTTGACGAGCCGACCCGCTGCATGCGCGGCCGCGGGGGGGTCGACGCGCCAGGGCGAGGGCCGGGCCCTTGCCCCGAAGGATCGCGCGGAGCCCCGCCGCTGCCCGCGCGCGCACCCAGCCCTCAGCCGGCCTCTGCCGGCACCGCCAGCGCCGAGGAGCGCCCCCCCGCTCGCGACGACCTGCTGGGCCTCTGGCCGAGCAGAGAGCCTGATGCGCAGGTCCAGACCCGCCACGCGCTCCGCTCCCACCACGGCGCGCGGCGCCTGGATGGGCACTATCGGCCCGCGCGGCTCGGCCGCCCCGGCGCGCGCGCAGTCGATGGGGCTCGCGATCGTCTCGGGCCCAGGAAAGCCGCGCGAGCGCAAAAGCAACCCGCGCATCGCCCCCACCGCCCGCCCGCGCACCCTCTCCGCGTCGACACGCGCGCGGCTCGGGGCGCTGTCCCCCGCGCACCCCACGCCCCGGCAGGGTCGCGCCGCCACCGGCGAGGGCCCCCCCCTCTCACCGTGGCCCGACCCAGCGGAGCTCCCATCGAGCCCCCCCATCGCGCCATCAACCCGCGGCGGCCCTCCCCCGCCGCAGCGCGGCACCTCCGCGCGAAGCTGGCCCCGCCGCCGCGCGAGCCCCTGGCGGCGGCGGGACCTCGCGCGCCCTCTCGGTTGACCGCCGCTTCGAGGCTCGCCGCGGCGCCCTCCAGCATGGCCCATCTAGGGCCGCCATGGAGCGCCCTCAAACGCTTCTACATCTGCCCCTCGTTCACTGCCTGGGCAACGATCTCCCTCCGCGGCGCCAAGGCCCGCGGCAGCCACCGCCCGCTCGAGCGCCCCCTCGAACTCGGGCCCGCCCGCCTAAGGCGCCAGGCGCGGGCCGAGGAGGTCGCAAGCGCATTGCTGACATCCGCCAAGCGGGCCGCTCACTGCGGGGCCGGCGCGCCCGCGCACACGCTCCGCCCCGCGCGTCGCCCTCTGCGCGGCCCCAGGCGAGGCCCCCTTCCCACGCCGAGCGGCAAGTCGCTCGGTTAACCCAACGACACTCTGCTCAGTTCGCTTGCCTCGCGGCGGGGGCAGCCCGCATAGCGCCCGCCGTGGAGGCCGCGGGGCCCGTTCCTCCTCGGATGCTGTCGCTTGCTCGCGGGGCGCTATCCCCGACGGTCGCCTGCGCCTTGTCGGGGCCCTCGGTATTTCGATGGGAGGGCCGCCTGCCCGCCCGCTGCTCACCGCGCCAGCCCTTCGCGCCGCGCGGGGCCCGGCCCCTGGCCGTCTGAGGCCGCCGCCGCGTTCCAGCCGCGCCCGTCGCCCGACGGACATGAGCACTGACCATGCTTGGGGGCGCGGGCGCAGACCCCCAAGCCCCCACCTCCGTCGTTCTTCACGCGCAAACGACGGGAGGGGCGGCCGCCCACGCAACCCTCGGCCGACGGCCCCCCGCCCACTCTTTCTCCGGGGATGCGCTTCCTGAGAGGGGGCGTGCTGCGCCGCCGCTTGCTCTCTGCCACGCGAGCGCCCCCCCCAGAAGCCTCGCAGGCTCGCAGAACCGCGGCCCCGCGGCGAGTCCCGCCGCCGCGCCGGGCCAGCACCTCGGGCGGCGACCGTTCCAGAGGCGGCCCA